CAGGTACTGCTGCCACAGTCGCGGTGCCTGCTTGATCCCGTAAAGCGATTTTAGTAGCTGGCAGACGTGCGTGGAATTTGTGTTGGAGCCGTGCGGTAGTTCCACGAAAATCTCTGCATCGACCGGTGCGTAGAGAAAAGCGTTTGCGACGTCGATTTGGCGCAGTTTCTTTTTCTTCATAGCGGCGATGGCGAGAAGAATTCGAAGTGAAGTGTGGCGGCTGACCGGAGCGAAGGTTTCGGTGAAGTCTCGTCCATGTTCCTGGTCAAAGCCGCGAACGACCCATCGTGCTTTAAACTTGTCGATGGTGCCGTCGGCCTTCGTCTTCACACGGAAGACCCATTTCCCGGTAAGAATGGTCTTGTTTCGCGCTACACTGATGGGAACGACTTTCCAGGTGTTGCGTTCCTCTAATGCCTTCAGCTCCTTGTCCATGGCTTCGCGCCATTTTTCCTTATGCTCCCCCCCCAGAGCCTGCTGAACTGTCGCAGGCTCCTTAGGAATGTTGACGCCGTGGACCGCGGTGACGAGACCAAGGATTTGGAGTCCGCTCTGTGTGTAGCGGGGGAGTGTGGTGTCCTCGGGATAGACTGCTTCGTCTCCAGTTTCTGGATCGGGTGCGAAGTTGGGCCCTATGCGTTCTGCTTCGTTGGTGTTGACTTCAGCAGGTGTAACGTAACCGTTGTCGGCGAAGTGGTAGTAAGTTTCGGCGTTGACGCTTTCGCGAGGGTTTTCTTCGTCCATCGGTACGTCCACTGAGCAGTAGGGAAGAGGTCCGGCTTCTTCCGAGGCTCCTTCCACATTCTGCTCGTCCCAGTCAGCTTCGTCTTCTGTCGAAGCGAAGGCTCGATCGCCACGGAAGCCGCCTGTGGGGTCTCGATTTTCGTCCAGGTTGGCAAGGTACGTTGGCAGTGTGAGTCGTTCGTAGAAAATCACGTCACGTGCTGCTACTGTTTCTTTGCTGTTGATATCGAAGATCTTCCATGCGTTGTAATGTTTTTCGATGCCCAGGTGTAGTCCCCACTGTGCGCGTTGGGAGAATCGGCCGGCTCGTGCAGATGGGGGTCGGTACTGTACCATGCAGCCGAAGACTCGTAACATTTTTGTGCTGCCCAGTTTTCCTGTCCACAGCAGATGCGGTGATGTGTTGTTCGGGAGTGACGACGAAGAAAGCAAGTTGTGCAGCATCACGGCGTGGTCCATTGCTTCGGGCCACTGGTGGTTGGGTAGCCGCATGCCACGTAACAGTTTGCGCATGGTGTTCTGCAGAGTCCTGTTCATCCTTTCTGCTACACCCTGCTGTTGATGGGCGTAGGGAAGGGAGATGAGTCTCTTGATTCCCTTCTCCGCCAGGTACTGCTTGAATCGCTGTGACGAGTATTCTCCTCCTCCGTCTGATTGGAAGCTTTTGAGTTTAGCTCCCGATTCCCGTTCTGCTGCTGGAAGCCATGCCACGAAAGCCTCGAAAGCCATGTCGCGACTTGGTAAGTTTAGGTGCCAGACGTAGCGTGTAGCGGCGTCGATGAAGGTGATGGTGTAGTTATACGCGTTTTGTCCGGGTTCGCGGTTGTACAAGATGTCGCTGTATACTTTCTCGAGTGGTGCATATGCAGGTGCGCTTGGGTTGTGATGCGAAACGAAGGGCTGATGCGGTAAGTCAGCTTCGGGGCAGGTGAAGCATGTTCCTCGAGCTCGTTGAAGTTCTCTGCCGTCTGTTAAAAGCAGAGAGTCCTTGTCGAGTACTCCTGCTCGAATTGTGTTGTTTAACACAGTGTTGCTTGGGTGTCCCATTCTTGCGTGCCAGATTTCTTCGTTGGCGCGATGACCGGGTGAGCGCTGATACATGTCGGAGTTGGAGTAGAGACCGGTGGTGAAGTTGGGACTGTGATGAAATTCTCGTGGTGCTGGCTGAAGCTGTTGTGCAGGTGTTGGTGGTGCATCGTCGTTGAAGAGCGCCGTCGTTGAAGGACCGGCGACTGGTGTCGTCGTTGTCGCTGTTGCTGTTGTTGTCTCTGCTGCTGCCGACGTTGTCTCTGCTGCTGCCGACGTTGTCTCTGCTGCTGCCGATTGTTGAATCGCTGCTAATGCTCTTGTTCTCTCTGTTTCAGGAATGGTATGTGAATACCAGAAGCCGCCTGGACTGAAGTCGGGGTCAAGATCCGGAGGGTGTGTCCAGTTGGTAAAGTTGACTATGGCGTCACTGTCAGCGGTGCCGAGATCAGGAACGAAGTCCAAGACGAAGACGTTGTTTTTAAGGATTGCCTTCCCGATGTAAAGACCTCCTCTCCCGTGGTACAGCTTGAATTCTTGGGTAGTGCTGTCTGCTTCGAGGTGGATGCCTTTCGCCATCAACTGACTCACACTGAGAAGGTTGTATCCGAGGCCTTCTGCGATTAAAACTTTGGACATTTGCAGAATGACGTTTGTCTCCCGTGACTGAAGTTGTACAATTCCTTGTCGTCGTGTGTACAGGTTTTGATTATTGGCGACGGTGATGACGACCTCTCGTTGAAGCTGATACTCTCTCTGTACGAAGCGTCCCGAAGAACACATGTGTTGTCCGCAGCAACTGTCCAAGAACCACGTGTCTTTTCCGGATGGCTCGTTTTGGGCGATGGCAGCGTATGTCGGATTTGGTTGAAGTGCTTCGCGACGAGGTGTGGTGTTGTCGAGTTGTTCTTCCGGTGAGTAATGAGGTGGTGAATCCATGACGCAAGAGTCACTTAGTCTTGCCATGCAGCTAACGATGTTTCTTGCTCCTTGCGCAGGTTGTCCCGTTGAGGTTGTTGAAGCTTGGATCTGGGTCGTTGGATTTGCTTGCGTTGACGCAATTTGACTGCTTGAAGGTCGAAGGTGTCGTTGCGGGGTCGTTGACTGTTGACGATTCGGGCAGTGCGTGCGCGGGTGCCCTGAAGTCTTGCAGATGTGACAGAAGGGAGGTACTGGCTTCGGCTGTTGTTGTCTGTTGCTGTAGTTGTTGTGTCGTCGTTGGGTGTGAAATGCGAACTCTGACGTTGTCGTCTTCTTCCTGTGTCGTTCTTCTTGCAGATCCATGTCCTGCTGTTCGGCGTGGATTTCGGCGCAGAGTGCTGCCTCAGAAATTCGTCCGTGGGCTCGGAGGATGGCCTTTGTTGCGCGCCACTGAGGGCCGAGGCCACCGATGATGACCGTCACGAAGGCGTCCTCAGAGATTGATCCTCCACATCGAAGAAGCTTGTCGCGCAGTTCGCGACATCGACTGATATATGCCATTCCTTTCTCTCCTGGTTTCATCTCAACTGTTGTCAGCTGCGCCATTAACCTGCTCTGGTTTACACTGTCTGTTGCTTGATACAGGCTCTTCAGATGGTTGTACGCGAGCTCCGCCGAGTTGCCGAAGGCCCGGTAGGACCGAATGTTTGGCTGTTGGGTTGGTGTTAAGTTCCTCAGTAGGATCGTATACGCCATCATCGATTGATATGTGTACTGCTGCTTCTCATACTGTGTGCCGTTTGCTGGATATTGCAGGGACCCGTCGAAGAAGCCAAGTATCTGCGCGCCCTCCATCATCAACTCGAACTCAAAGGACCAGGTGAAGAAGTCCTTTCCGTCGAATGGTCTTGACGTCTGAAGCTTCAAAACGTGTGCGAATTGCGACTGTACTTGTAACGCGTCCAGTGATTTGTCTTGTGCAGGCGAAGACTGCGGCATGAAGCTGATTGACCCGCGTTCGTACGGGGCGAAGGTAGGTTGCTGCTGTTGATTTCCGCGCGCGTATGACGACCCATCAAGGCTCATGGGTGTCACTCCGTTGTTGCTGTTGTGTGTCTGTGCAGGTCCCGACTGCTGGTGCTGCTCGTAGAAGGACATGAAGGAGAAAAACTTCTCCATCATGCTCTGGTCAAAGCCCGTGGGGCGATTTGTGAGAGTCTCGGTGGACGTTCCCCTAGGTCTTGTTGCTGTGCCTTCCTCTGTCTGCAGGCCAGAGGCAGGAGGTGGTGTAGGAGTAGTCCCCGGGGAGCCATTAGAAGAGCTCCTCTCCTTGTTTGTTGCCATGTCTTGTAATGTCTTTGAATTGAAGAGGTAGAATTTCCCCTGACCGCTCTCATACCATGTTGGGCTGAGATAGCCCCTTAGGATCTTTTCAGGGGAGAACTCTGGGTAGGACAATTGTAATAGCGGAAGCTTTTAGTGAAGTAATTGTGAACCACCTTGCGCTAGTATGTGAGGGCAAAGTAGATTAATTATAACAGGAAAGTACAAGAATATATAGTGGTGTAAGGAATATCAAAGGATACGGTTATAACTACTTTTACTGTTGCTGTTGCGGTTCGATACAGTACGACTCGGGCAACTGCTCTGTAACGAGTCAGTTGTATGTCCTTAACTGTCGCGCTGTACTTGTCGGGTCAAAGGTCAGCGACCTTTGACCTTCGCGTAACCTCCAGCAACCTCTTCAACCCCCGAGGGTTGACTCGCGGGTGCTTCGGTGTAGTTTGCCTCGCTTCTGATGCGGTGTTTTCGACACGACTGAAGCGCTTAGGTCTTATTGTTTCCAACAAAATGGAATACTTCAGGAAGACAACAGATCGGAAAGGAAATGCCATCCAGTTAGCACTATTCATAGCTTGCGATGCAGGGCCTTTACATTGGCCTTAATGTCGTCCCATCAGCTCATCCACCAAACTGCAATCCTAGAAAAAGTTCAGGCAGCATGACTTCAGCACAGCCTCAGTCCAGAGCATGCGATCAGCATCATTCACAGCTTGCGCAGCAGCACCTTCACCTTGCCTCGAATGTCATCACATCAGGCACTTGCAGCATTGCTTGCACACCCACCTTCTTCTCCCTTCGTCCAACCTTGAATTCAGTTCAGTCCAGAAAGAAAGAATCCCTTTTGATCACTGCAGCGAGCGAAGAAGAGCCTTCACCTTGGCTCGAATGTCATCGGGAACACTCACGGCTGCTCCCCCTTTCCTTGAAACCTCTCAATTCAGTCTAGAAAAGAAGTTCACTTTCTTTCACAGCTTGCGCAGCAGAGCCTTCACCTTGGCTCGAATGTCATCAGGCACACTCACACCCAGTACAGCAGCTCCTTTCACACCCACCTTGCTCCCCCCCTTCTCTCTCCCCCCTTGCTTGCTCTCTTCATCACGTAACTCCCCTTTCAAGGCAAAGGCAGGTGCAGCTGCTCTCTCCTTCCCACCACCTTTCCCCTGTTCTTCCCTTGGTCTTGCCTCGACTGTGTGCTTGCTCTCCTTGCCCTTGCCATCTCCTCTCGTGCGCTTGTCTTCAGGAGAATATGATCTCCTCTTCTTCACCTTCTCCCTCTCTCTATCGTCGTCCCTTTCCCTCTTCCCCTCCCCTTTCTTTTCCCTATCCCTTCCCCCCACGTCCCTTACCCTCTTCCCTTCCCTCTCCCTCTCCTCTACCTTCTTCTCCTTGCCACCGCCCCGCCCTTTCTTCTTCCCTTCCTTTATCCTCGTTATAGGAGACCTCGACTTAAACCGTCCACGCCTTTCCCTCTCGTCGCTGTCACTCCCCTCACTAGAACGCTCGCGCCTTTCCCTCTTGTCACTACCACTCCCTTTCCCCAAGTACCCATGGCTTCTCCCCGTGCCTGCGGCCTTTCTTGAGTGCCCGCGGCTTTTCCTATGTGACTGAGAGGGGGATGAAGGGGACGAGGACCTAGAGGAAAACGAGGAGGCAGAGGAGGAGGATGGGGTGGATTGAGAGGCGAGTGAGCGAGAGGGGGATGACGATGATGATAAGGAGGGAGACCGGGACACGGATGGGGAGTGCGAGCGAGAGCGCTTGCTTTTCTTCCTGACGACTTTTGCCTCGCGTTCTCTGCCTTGCTTGCGTTCCCTGCTTGGCATTCGCTCCCTGCTTGCCTTCGTGCTTGCCTTGCGTTCCCTGCTGGAATCTCGGCTGCTTGCCGGGCTGCTCTTCCTTCTTCCCGTTCCCTTACTTCCATCCCTTCCTTCGCGTCCTCCTCTTCTTTCTTTTCTTCCTCCCCTTCCTCTGCTATCTCTGCTTCCTCTGCTTTCGCTGCTTCCTCTGCTATCGTGGCTTTCGCTACATTCTCTGCTTCCTCTGCTTCCTCTGCTCTCACTGCTTTCGCTGCTGCTCCTTCGAGCCTCTTTACCCCTCCTCTTTCCGCTCCCAATCTCCTTCTTCCTCGACCTCCCCCTTTCCTTCACATCCTCCTCCCCATCCTCCCTTCTCTCCTCTTCATTGCTCCTCTCTCCCTCCTCCCTGCTCTCCTCTTTCCCCACTACACCACCCGCTCCTGCTTCTTCTTTCAATCCAACTTCCCCCTTCTCCACCTCACCTAATCCACTCTCCACTCCATTGACCCCTACTTTTACCCCTCCTGTTGCACCCCCTGTTGCCCCTCCTATCGCCCCTTTGCTTGCCTGCCCCTCTCCCCCTCCACCCTTCCCAACCCCAACATCAACCTGTCCCGACAAGCCAAGAAGAGGCAGGGCCTTGGCCACAGCAGCTGCTGCAGCCGCCGCCGCTGCCGCCAGAGCAACCTCAGCCCCTTGCGTGGTTGCACCATCCCTGCCCCCTCCTGCAGCGCCATTGCCCCTGACTGCGAGAACGCCAGCAGCAGCACCGCTGCTCCCTGCAGCAGAAGCACCCGCTTCAGCAGCATCAGCGGTCGAGGAGAGCATGGCAGAGAAGAGCTTTGCCTTGCGCCTCCTCTCCAGCCGCCGCTGCTCCTCTGCAGTAAGCTCAGCAACTGCCCCTCCCTGCATCGCAGCAGCAGCAGCTGCAGACCCGGCAGCAGCAGCTGCAGAGCCGGCAGCGGCACCAGCGGTATCAGCATCAACAGCAGGAGCAGGAAGTGCCGCAGCAGTAACGGGAGGAGCAGACAAGGCAGCAGAAGGCAAACTAGGAGCAGATGAGACAGACGCCTGAATGGATTTAGGCCCTGTGCCAACCCTGCCTGGTCCACTCCCAGGTCTCCTCCCTCTCAGTATTTCCAACACTGCTGCTGCACTCATGCGGTTACCACCCGTATTACAAGCACCCAAACCAGCAGTACCACCGCCAGCACCAGCACCACCAGCACCAGGAGCAGCAGCACCTTTCCCCCTGGTCCCACGCTCAGACTCTTCTTCTCCAAACACTAAGGCAGCAGCTTTGGCAGGTGCAGCAGCGGGTACAGCAGATGGAGTGGTGGAAGAGGCAGCAGCACCGGTTGTTGCTGCTGCTGCTGCTGGAAGGGCAGAAGCAGCAGGGCGAGAAGAGGGGGGGAATCTGCTAGTCGCTGCACGCACTGCTGCTGCCACTGCTGCCGCACTGAGCCTGCCACCAACAGCCACAGTTGCCCCTTTTGCTGCTCCTCTGCTGCCCTCCTCTTCCTTATCACTCCCTGCCTCCTCTCCCTTCTCGCCCTCCTCTCCCTTCTCCTTCCCCTCACCCAGAATCTCTCCACTCTCTCCCTCCTCATCTGACTCTCGGGAACCCTGTCTTTCTTCTCTTCCGACTTTCTTCCCTTTCGCCTCACCTCGTATCTCCCCTTCCTCTCCCTCACTCCCACTCCCCTCCCCACCCTTGGCCCCCTCCTCTCCCTCACTCTCACTCCCCTCCCCACCCTTGGCCCCCTCCTCTCCCTCACTCTCACTCCCCTCCCCACCCTTGGCCCCCTCAGTTCCCTCCCCCTTCTCCTCCGCCTTCTCCCTCTCACCCTCCTCCCGTCCCTCCGCCTCACCCCTACCAGAATCTCCTCCTGTTAGAGTCACATCCCTTAGAACCACACCCACCTCTCCCCCCTTCAGTTTGCGGACAGCAGGGACGGGTAGTTTTCCAGGCAGAACAGAAGTGGGGGGGCGAGGGCGAGGGGGTGGCTGTGGCATCAACAACAGAGGGGCATTGGCGCGCTGTGGGGGGGGGGGAGGGGCCGGGGGGAGAGGTGAGAGCAGCATGATAACAGGGGAATGAGACAGAGAGGCATGCAGGCACGGGCAGTTTCCCTGGCAGCACGGCAGTGGGAGGGCGTGGGCGAGGAGGTGGCTGCGGCATCAACACCAGAGGAGCATTGGCGCGCTGTGGGGGGTAAGGGAATGTGGGGACAGGATAAGAGGAGGACAGGACAGGAAACAAGGAAGGGGACAGGGGGGAGTAGAATGTGAGATTGTTACAGGAAGAGGAGCAGGACAGGCTGTTTTCCTGGCAGCATGGCAGTGGGGGGGCGTGGCCGAGAGGGTGGCTGAGGCTGTGGCATCAACCTGAGGGGCATTGGCGCGCTGTGGGAGGGAGGCAGAGAGGGGGGAGGGAAGACGGGGTGAGGAATAAGAGGGAGGAAAGAAAGGAGAATGGGATCAGGAAAGAGAAGCACACGGTCTGGTGCTTCTGTTACTCTCAGCTTTTACCCCCACCACCCTCGCACCGACTTCAGTGGTACAACCCTGAACCCAACCCCTCCCACTGCCGCACAATGCTCTCAAACTCATGCACGTTGCGCACAATAAATTCCACCATCTTCCCCACCACCCCCCGCACCCACTCCAGTTTCAAACCCAAAACCTGAACCCAAACCAGAAACCCTCACCCTAATCATAACCCCACGCACTCTCATCTCTAAAGCCTCCTTTAGTGTTCGCTGGTAGTAGGCGTGAAAGCGATCCCCAGGCAATAAGAAGGGAAATCGCCCCTCCCCAGCATCCCTCTGCTGCACAATGCTCTCAAACTCGTGCCCGTTGCGCACTATGAATTCCACCATCTTCCCCACCACCCCCCGCACCCACTCCAGTGCCAAACCCAAAACCCGAACCCAAACCGGAAACCCTCACCTAACCATAACCCCAAGCATTCTCACCTCCAGAGCCTCTTTTAGTGTGCGCTGGTAATAGGCGTGAAAGCGGTCTCCAGGCAACAGGAATGGAAACCGCCCCTCCCCAGCATCTCTCTGCCGCACAATGCTCTCAAACTCGTGCCCGTTGCGCACTATGAATTCCACCATCTTCCCCACTACCCCCCCGCACCGACTCGGGCACTTCTTCTGCCTCTTCTCCTCCCGTCGCCCTTGCTGCTACTCCTCCCCCTCCTTCTCCTCCTGCTCCGCCTGATCCCCCCGCAGCCCCTGCTGCTGCTCCTCTCTCCGCCCCGACATCACCTTCCTCTCCCTCCTCTCCCTCCTCTCCCTCCTCTCCTCCCTCTTCCCCCTCTCCTCCTCGGCCCACTCTCCCTGCTTCTTCTCCTGTCTCCATCCCAGGAGGGGGTGGCTCATCTGAAACCAACGGAGGCTCAACCGGGGGAGGCTGTTCTGGGGGAGGCTGCTCTGGGAAGGTATTATCTTCAAAAGGGATCTCCGTCCCACCTTCCGCACCTCCTTCCTCAGACACCTCCTCAGTGAACCACCTACTTCCCTCCACTCCCTCAATAACCCTTTCCTCGATTACCCTTTCCTCAATAACTCTTTCCTCGGTAACTCCTTCCTCAGATGCTCCATCTTCCTCCATTGGTTCGCCTTGTTGCCTTTCACGCCCCTCTCTGCTGCCTCCTTCGCTCCCTTCATCCCCTCCCTCTTCCTCCTCCTTCCCCACCTCCCTTCCCTGCTCCCTCCCTTCCTCCTCCCTCTCTTTCTCCTCCTTCCGACCCTCTCTACCTTCCTCCTTTTCCTCCTCCTCATCCTCCCCATAAGCAGCCCCGAGCAGCGTCACAGCACTCCCCTTCTCCACACTCACCCTCCCGCCCCCCTCACCTCCTCTCCCTTTCCACTCACCCACATAGACCCCCTCTTTCTCCCCCTTCCCTCCACCCTCCTCCTCCTCTCCCTTCCCTTCCCCCTGCCCCTTCCCCTTCCCCTTTCCCCCTTCTTCTACCAGCTGCGGGTTTGCTACTAAGAATCGGAAGAAGGGGTGTAGGGGGTGACCAGGGGAGAGGAAGGCGAAGGAGAGGTTGCCCTTCTGCTTCACTCTTAACACGATTTCCGCCTGTGCGCCTGCCTTTCGAACAAATGACGCAGTGCGTGCCATGATGGTGTAAATCTTTTCTGTGGGAGGCTGGGAGCAAGCGAGGGGTATAATGACGCAGTACATGCCATTATGTTGTTGTGGATCTGGAAAAGGAGGGGAGAGTGGGAACGGAAAAGAAGGAAATGCTGTGCAGTGATGGTTGGGTTCGGGGGGAAGAGGTGGGGGAAAGGGAAGAGGGGTGCTGGAAATAAGAGAACAGGTGCAGTGTTTGGTTGGTTAGTTTCAGGGAGAGGACGGCGACAATAGGGTTGTTTCTCTGCCTATATCGCACGGTGATCTCTGCCTGTGCTCCAACCCTTTCCACAAGAGGGATTCGGGCCAAGAATGGTGTATATAGACCTTTCCTGGCCCGATAGGAATGTTCCTAGCTAAAAGCAGCGAAACTAAGAAGGGAGTGGTGGGAGGGGGGAGGGGAGGGGCCCAAGAAGGGCAGGATTGGCCAGCCAGGTGATGGAAAGATCACGTGTGCGCAAAGACAGTGTCACTGTGTAATATTAATATTATTTGTTGCAAAATGGTGGAACGTACCAGGCAGTGCTGAAGCTCTGGGGGCACTTCAGCGGGCGGCATAAACAGGCTTTGCCTTCCCCTACTGCTGCCCCTGTGCTGTTACTGCCGGTTGTTTTGAGAATAAACCAGAACTCCAAGGCCCAAGGGGATTCATGGAACGTACCAGGCAGTGCTGAAGCTCTGGAGGCACTTCAAAGGGCGGCGCAAAACCACTCGTTTTGCCTTCCACTGTTGCTTCCACTGTTGCTGCTGTTGCTGCTGCCCCTGTTGCTGCTGTTGCTGCTACTGCAGCAGCTCCTGCTGATGCTGCTGTCGTTTGTGCATGCGTGGCATGATCACCAGCAGCAGTGTGTAGAGACGACGGGTGGCTTTCTTGTTGCTCCACTGGGCCTGCAGAGTAGTTGAAGGCGACAGTTGCATAGGCTGGGCGAGTGGATATCTGGTGGGCTGGATGGGTGAAGGAACAGAGGGTGGGGGAAGGTGACGCAGGAAGAAAGGAGAAGCAAACAAAAGGAGGGATTGGAAGGATGCAAGAGGCACAGAGAAGGAATACTACATGCCGAAAATGTGCAGTCTTTCATATTGCATTTTTGTTTCCAACGGCATGGGAATAATACGAAACGGCCCAAAAAGGAAAACAACAAATGGTTTCATCAACTATGGAAAGATTAACTAATGTAATGACCCTCACAGATACGCTGGATGCGAACTGCTGCTGGAGAAACCTGCACTATGGAGCAAGGATGGAGACGGAGAAGGTGAGTTAGAAAAGAAGAGTGTAACAGAAAAAAACGAAGTCGAGACGAGCGGGGAAAGGGAGGAAAGGGAAGAGGCTGGGAAAGGGCAGCACGCTGAGTGAAACAGCTTAATGAGAGCAAGGGAACATGCATTTAACGAGCTTCACATCAATCTTACAGTTGATATGAACAGTCCTTGAATGTGCGCAAGTATTTTGCCTTTTTTTTTTTTTTTTTTTTCCTGGAATGGCGACCTGAGCCATGTAAGCATTCTAATTGATACATGGCCATGTGCTTCCCGATGCTTCGACACAAAGAGCAGGTGAGATGAAAACAAGCCTGTTAACAAAAACACAGAGCACAGGCAAGCTGTGGGTCCCAGAAAGCACAAGCCTCGTACCCTGCCCATGCCCGCCAACATTCTCTGATGCTGCTGCTGCCACAGCGAATCCTCCTCCTCTGCTCCTCGCTGCCATCTCCCACACATCCTCCGTCCCTCCAACTCCTTGCTCCCCTTTTTCCGCTTCTGCCTTTCTCTCTGCCGCTGCCGCTGCTGCCTTTCGCCTCTCCTCTTTTTCAACCATATCCAGCTCCACAAATCTCTCCCTTTCCATCTCCTCCTCCTCCCCACCCTCTCCTGCGTCCCCTCCCCCTCTCCCCCCACCTCGTCCCCCCTTTTTCCGCCTGATCGTTTTAAGGCTGTCCAATAGATGCCTGACATCGAAGCGGTCAATCATTAGAGAATCTTCCCCTTTCCAGGGAAGCAGCCCGCCGCCGCCCGCCACGTCAGCTGCCACGTCATCGTCCTCGTGGATAAGGCACGGCCGGCCGACCAATGAGAGCTCGTTCGGGGCAGGAGCGCAGGCCTTGACTTGGCGGGAAAGCCACGCAGGTTCCTCAAATTGCGGCGGCTGCTGCTGCTGCTGCCGGCGGTGCTGCTGCTGGTGCTGCTTTCGCGATCCACGTTGGTAGTGCTGGTGCGGCTGGTACGAAGAGCCTTGCTCGTACGGGTACTGCTGATACGCATCCCGTTGATACGATTCATCTCGGTACGAACCATCATCCTCCTCGTACGCGTACGCAGCAGGCGACGGGGAGCGACGAGCAGCGACGGTGTAAGCTACAGCTGCAGATGCAGTGCCTTGGTACGTATCCCCGTACGTAGCAGGCGAAGGGGAACGACGCGCAGCACCGCTGTAAGCTGCAGCTGTGGCGCTAGGGCCAGCAGGAGCATCGGAGGCCGGATACTGAAACGGGTATGTATCACCGACTGAAGGAGGGTTGGTAGGCGATCTTCTCCACATGACTGCGCGCGATGCTCTTCTGACTACACACGCTTTATAACACTCGACCAGACAAAACACTCGGGACAAAACACGCCTTCCAGATTCACCACGTGGCTGTGCTCGACGCGCTTCTCGTAGCACGCTCTCTACCCTCGAAGCGACACTTTCTGACCGTCGATCTGACGACAGGATTTCGTCAATCTGACCGCTACGTAGGAGAACGGGAGGCTAGCACACGTCAGGTACGCTGGTTGTTACGTAGACTGGATAAACTTTGAGGCGCCTCAAAAGTCGCTGGTTGTTACGGTAGACTGGATAACTACGCTGACGGCGAACTCCCCAACCGCTTAGTTTGGCTTCCAGCCTCGCAATTCTTATAAGAGCCTCTTTATGAAAGTAATTTAAAAACTATTATTGCCGTGCAGGCGAGAAACGCAGAGGTGCATGCAGGCCCAAGACTGTTCCACAAGCAAAGTGAAGACGTGAGGAGAAAGGAGGAATCGAGGGGTGAAGAGAAACAAGGCAAAACCGAGGGACAACGAGGGAAGAACTAAGGGCGCTTCACCTTGGGGCCGGAAGGCCCAAATCCGAACAGACGTATCAGTTTTACTGTACGAACAGCCTCCCAAGTGGTGTCGAACACAAATTCGTGCAATGTGCGAATGTGACAACCGTGCATTGCAGGTGACGCCATCGCTATTCGCACACGCTGTCTGTTCGAACACAGCGATGTCGCCCACGAACGAACGACGTCGCAACACATTGTCGTAAACATTCGTGTGCGACCCGGAACACTGTTGACCAATCAAATCAGTCGTTTGTGCGGAATTGTGTGTCACCAATCCCAACTTGTTCGGACCACCCTGTTCGAACGTGCGGAATGAAGAGCTTTCATGCTTCATGTGACAGCTCTGTTCGGATTGACGAAAATTGGGATTGGCGACGTCACGAATACTTATACGAATTATGGCGAAATAAGTAACGTTTCGACTGTTCGAACGAGTGTGTTGTTCGAACCGAGAGGTGAGGCGCCCTAAAAAGAAGTTTCTATTCTGTACTGGTCCTCTGTAGCGGATTTTCCGGTGTTCCTAAGCCATCCGACACATGCCAAAAGCATGTATTTAGTAAAAATACGAGGGCTTATTCCATCTGCAACCGAAAGGGAGAGTACTTAACAAAACGTTTCGAGCACTGAGAGATTCGAACTCTCGCGGGCAGAGCCCATGTACTTAGCAGGCACACGCCTTAACCACTCGGCCAAATGCTCTTGCTCTTGACCAGTAGCTTAAATTTATGTTATTAAACATGAGAAAAGCTTGGTAAATCTTTTAACTTCAACACAGGCCACCTTACTAAATGCCAAATTGTATGCACCTAGGCATTTAGAGGTGTAGGCTGTGTGAAACATGACATTGTAGTTGCTCCGTTGCACATTTCCTGCCCTTTACTCCCTCTTTCACTCCCTCCTCTCCAGCCTTTGCCTTCCCTTTCTTCTTCCCGCCCGCTCCCTCCTCTGTCTCATCATGGTAGCAAACAGGCAGGTGATAAGCGTCCAGCTGCCAGTACCTGTGCCGCACCCCCACCCTCCTTTACAGCTGTTCCTCAGCATTTATTCCCCCCACTCCTACCCCCCCTCTCCCTTCTCCACCTCCTCTCCCTCCTCCCCATCCTTCTCCCCGTCCGCTCCCTCCTCTCCCTCATCACGGTAGCAAACAGGCGGGTTCTAAGCATTGAGCTGCCAGTACCTGTGCCTCACCCCCACCCTCCTTTACAGCTGTTCCTCAACATTTATTCCCCCCACTCATACCCCTCCTTCTCCACCTCCTCTCCCTCCTCCCCATCCTTCTCCCCCTCCTCCCCCTCATCACGGTAGCAAACAGGCAGATGGTAAGCATCGAGCTGCCAGTACTTATGCCTTACCCCCGCCCACGTATCCCCATCCAAGCACCGGCTCACCGGCAGCGGGATGAACTGCGTGGTCAGCCCCACGTGCTGCTGAATCTCCAGGGTCACTATGTGGCAGCAGCTTCTACTCTACTCCACTTCCTCACCCTCTTTTCCTTCCCCTTCCTTCTCTCCCTCCTCTCTCTCGTCTACCTTCGCCCCCTCCTCTCCCTCCTCCCCCTCCTCTCCCTCCCCCTCAGCGCGATAACAGACCGGCAAGTGGTAAGCGTCGAGCTGCCAGTACTTATGCCGCACCCCCGCCCACGTGTCCCCATCCAAGCACCGGCTCACCGGCAGAGGGATGAACTGAGTGGTCAGCCCCACGTGCTGCTGCAGCTCCAGGGCTACTATGTGGCAGTAGACGGTGTGAAAAAAGGCGTTGTCGCCACACATGCCATTGAAGAAAGAGTAGAGCCCGCTGGGTTTGAGCAGGCGCGGGAGGTGGGAGTGGAATTCCCGCAGGTCATCGTAGTATTCTCCGTAAGTGTCAAAGAATATGCCTGCATGGAGGGTAGGGGACAGGGAGGGGAAAGCAGGGACACGACAAGCGGAGGGGGAAAACAGGATAGGGAGGAAAGCAAGGCCACTGAACACATGTGGCAGTAGAGTAGACGGTGTGAAAGAAGGCGTTGTCGCCACACATGCCGTTGAAGAAGGAGTAGGGTCCATTGGGTTTTAGAAGCTGAGGAAGGTGCGAGTGGAATTCTCGAAGATCATCGTAATACTCGCCGTAGGTGTCAAAGAATATGCCTGCAGTGATGGAAGGGCCAGGGTGGGAATGGGAGCAACATGAAGCAAAAGAGGGAGAAACAGAGAGGGATGAACTGAGTGGTCAGCCCCACGTGCTGCTGCAGCTCCAGGGCCACCATGTGGCAGTAGACGGAAGAAGGCATTTTGGCCACACATGCCGTTGAAGAAGGAGTAGAGTTCGGAGGGCTTCAGAAGGTGAGGTAGGTGTGAGCAGAGCAGTTGCGTGCAGCCGCTACCCAGCACCACCAGCTGGTCCTTTTAACCTCCCTTCAGGACCCAGCCGCCAGCAGTTGAGTTCTGAAGAGAGGTTAAACGGACCAACTGGTGGTGATGGGTAGCGGCTGCACGCAACTGCTCTGCTGCATGTGCGGAGATGCGCTGAGCTAAGGCAGAAAAGAGTCGGTTCGGGTAACCAGCAAGGAAAGCGGACCAGGGAGGGACTAGGTGACGCAGGTCGTCAGGCAGGGCAACCAAAGCACGTGAAATTTGTGGGTCTACGGGGTCAAGCACGTCGCTGGCAATGAAAAGGTGAAGGAAACGGGCGCCATCTATGCTGCAGTTGTTGGCTAGGACTGGTATGACTTGAGCCCAGCTGCAGACAAAGCTAAGCGAAGCGTGCCTGCGTGCACTCTGAATCCCAAGACCTCCTAAGCGAGTCGGTAAGAAGGCCTGTGAGCGGGCTAGCTGTCCCTCTGCCGTGTCAAGGTCCCATGAGTCACGAGGGAAGACGGAAATGAGGGTATCGAGAAGGCCATCCCATGTGTCTTGAATGAGGATGGCCATCCCAGTCATTGAATGCCTCTAGGACGTCATAGGTGGGGGGGACTTTTGAGGCGCCTCAAAAGTCGCCTCTAGGACGTCATTGGTGGGGGGGGCCATGCGGAGGAGATAAGAAGGTATGGCAGACAAACACACAGCAAGCAGGTGGGCAGCAATCTGTGGGTTCGAAGAATACGCCTGCACGGAGAGAGAAAGGAGGGTAAGGAAGCAGCTGAACAGTGGACAAGGAATGTGGGGTGGGAGTGGAACGCGCACAGGTCATCGTAATATTCCCAATATGTCTCAAAGATTACGCCCGCTTAGATGGGAGATGGAGCGAGCAGAGACGGAGGAACAGGAAAGGGAGGAAAGCAGGAGGCGAGAAAAGCAAGGAAACACATGTGGCAGTAGGCAGTGGGGAAGAAGGCACTCCACATGTATATCATTTCAAAAATAAAATATGCCTGCAATTCTCCATATGCCTCCAAGGAGAAAAGGGACAGGGATCACAGAGAGAGAGGGAAGGGAGGGGAAAAGGAATAGGTGGTATATAGGGACAGTTGGTTTGAGGAGGCGTGGGAGGTGCGAGTGGAACTCGTGAAGATTCTCGTAATACTCCCCGTAGGTATACCCAGATTAAAACTCACCGTCGTATTGCCCCAGTTGTGGTAACACGTCCTGCCATCTCCCCTCCACCACCCTCACTCCCTCCTTCTCATGCCACCCCTCCGCCTTCATCCTCGCTATAACGTCCGGATGCGCTTCCACTATAGTGTGCGACCGAATCCCGCCCTCCGATTGGCCGATCCGGGCAGCAATGGCAGTGTCGATTAGACCCATGCCAAAGCCAATGTTGAGAATATCCCCTCCCTGGAGTGGGCGAGTTGGAGGGAGAAGTAACAGTGAGGTTGGAAGCGGTTGGGAGAGGTTGAAACGGCTGCACGGCGGTTTGTAACAGAGGTGGCAGCTGCAATGGCGGTGTCTATTAGACCCATGCCAAAGCCAACATTGAAAATATCCCCTCCCTGAACTGGTAGAGAGGGAGAAGGAAGCGTTGGGAGAGCGGTTGGAAAGACTGGCTGGAAAGGAAAAGTTACAGCACAGTTTTGTAACAGCACAGGTTTGTAACAGCACAGTTTTGTAACAGCACAGGTCTGTAACAGCACAGGTTTGTAACAGCACAGTGTTGTAACAGGACAGTTTTGTAACAGCACAGTTTTGTAACAGCACAGTTTTGTAACAGCACAATGTTGTAACAGCACAATTTTGTAACAGCACAATTTTGTAACAGCACAATTTTGTAACAGCACAGTTTTGTAACAGCACAATTTTGTAACCTCACAATTTTGTATTAGCACATTTTTGTAACAGCACATGGTCGTAAAAGCAATGGCAGTGTCTATTCGATTCGACTCATGCCAGACCAGACCCGATCTTGAGAACAGGGGCAAATTGAGGCATAACACACACACACACACACACACACACACACACACCCCCACCCCCCCCCCACACACACACACCCACACACACACACACACACACACACACACACACACACACAAAAACAGAATACAACACATCTGTTGGCAGATGGCTTGCGCGTGTGCTTGCATGAGCGCCCCCTCCCACTTCATCGTCACGCACGGCACACTTACAAGACAATACGCAAACACAACAAGATAACACACAGCCCCGTACCCACCTGTTGCCAGATGGCTTGCGCGTGGGCTTGCATTAAAGCCCCCTCCCACTTCATCATCACCCCGCCCCCCTCCCCGTCGACCAATCGGCTTTCAGACAGCTGCAGCCGCTCCGATAGGTAGGCCGCGTTTGGGGCAGCACACAACAGAACAGCACAGAACAGAAGACACAGCAGCGTACATACCTGCTGGCAGATGGCTTGCGCGTGGGCCTGCATGAGCGCCCCCTCCCACTTCATCATCACCCCGCCTCCCTCTCCGTCGACCAATCGGCTTTCAGACAGCTGCAGCCGCTCCGATAGGTAGGCCGCGTTTGGGGCAGGTGCTGACTGCTCCGCTGCTCCTGCTGCTGTGCTGCCACGTGTCAGGTTCCTACTGGCTGCGCCCAGAATGAGCTCTGATCTGATGCCTGTACGAGGAGTGAGGAAGTGAGGTTAGGCAAGGGGTCAAGGGGGGAAGGAGGGGAAAGGAAAGGGGAGGAAAGGGAAAGGTAAGGAAAGGAAACGAAAAGAAGAGAGCACGAGGGGTAGATGCAGCCTCCCTGATAGGTAGGCTACATTTGGGGCAGCTGCTAACTGCTCTGCTGCTCCTTCTTCTCCTGTTGCACTTGTTGCTGTGCAGTGTGCTGCTGCCACGTGTCAGGTTCCTATTGGCTGTTTGAGAACGAGCTCTGATCTGATCTGATGCATGCCTCCCGCCCTTGCAACCCCATCCCCTCCCCTCCCCTCCCCACCCCCAACCTCACCCCCCCATTTCACCATATCCCATACATATGGCCCCCTTCCCCCAGCAGTGTCCGAAATGCTTCCGCCCTCCCCTCCCCCACATTTTCCTCTCCCCTTCTTCCATTCTCACCTTCCTGTTCCCCCCTCTCCACACACTACAGCCTTACCAGCATCAATCAGTGTATCCAGCACTTCTTGTCGCCTCTTCCTCTCTTCTTCTTTATTCTCATCATCCTCCCCCTCCGCCCCCTCCCCCCATGCCACCACCCCATCCATCGCGTAATCCCCTGCGCTCTTCCCCCCCATATCCACCGCGTTCCACACCGCCCCCTCCCCCAGTAGCGCCCGCACCACCTCCGCCCTCCCCCCTTCCGCCGCCGCCATCAGCGCCGTCTTCCCCTGCGCTTCCACGTCAGCATACGCCACGTCAGCGCCTTCTCTGGGGGTTTAGACGAAGAAGGAAAGGGGTAACGGGGTTGGGTGGAAGACGGGAGGGGGAGGGGGCGGGGGGGGGGGGATGGAGTTACCAGGGAGGAGGAGTGGGGGGGGAAATTATCGGGGGGACTGGAGGAGAGAGGGAGAAAAGGAGCTGGGAGGGGGATCAAGGGGGAATAAAGGGGAGAAATGAGGCCGGGGAAAGGGAAGGGGAGGGGGGGAAGAGGGGGGGGAGGAGGATGGGTGGTGGGTGGGGAGGAAGGTGGGAGAGAGGCTGGGGGGCGTTGAGGGAACGCGAGGAAGGGACCGTGAGTGCTGAGTATAAGAGGAATGGGGAGAAGTGACATGTACCGAAGTTGGCCACAAAAGGGTTGAGGGTTTCTTGCTTCTATGTAGCGAACAGAAAAAAACCCAGCGAAAACGGACGAATTTGGGTCGCGGTCGTGCTGCCTGGAAACCTATGGTCGTGTTACGAGGTAACCATTTGTCGGGCCTCACTTGATGAGTCGCAGCACTGTAGATAAATCGCCCTCGCGTGACGCTTCTATCAGCTGCCGATTCTTTGCCACGTCAGCCTCGGAGGTCTCTGCGTCAGCCATTGGCTGGCGATTCCTCGCCCTGTCAGCTTCCCAGGTATCCGTGTCAGTCGAAAGTAAGCGGCTAGTCAGACGCCGTCAGGTATTAAAAATTCGCTAAAAATCGCATGCTATCGCATAAAGCGCTATCAAAATGCTTGCGAAATTCACTTGGTTCAGATAAGTTCCGCCTCCAGCGCTCCACGTACGCGTTTGTGTAGGATAGATGTAGTGGTAATAACACGTAATTAAATATGAATCGCTGTTTCAAAACAAAGCTGTTACATAAGTTTATACAGATTCAAAATAATTTCTTCATGATTAACTAACATCTAAATCCGAATATACTTCGCAAATAGTACGCGTTATTAACCCAATTCACTGTTTCTTCACATGTAACACATTTTACAGATTTAGCTTAGTGATTTTTCATACTTCAGTGCTTACACCCCGTGCCATGCATAATATCGGAGTCAATCGTGTCGAAGCCAAGCACCAAGAAACCCCTAGCAGCTAGTCGTTCCAGCTAGCCCCACAAGCAGTCTTTCACGCTCCTGCGTAGTCTGCTCGTACTGAGCTCGTACTGTGTGTCGCTGGTTGTATCGACTATTTTTTCTTAGATGATTCCTTTGTTATCCTTATAGGACGTACTTCGTGCAAGGAGGAATCAGGGGTTTTCTAGGGTTTGGCGCGATTTTAGTAGTTTTTTAGAGTGGGCCGATGCCTGCTTTTGCGGGTCGATAATGCAAGAAACAGTCTTTTGTTTGTGCGACCGAGAGACGAATATTGACTAGATTGTGCTTCGTTATTGAGGTGTTTCGAGCAACGGCTTTTGTGACTCGTTATAGAGCGGAGGATGGGTGCCATCGCTCGGATCGAGCCGGGCGGGACAACAAAACGACGTGTCGCGGAAGACAGCCAATGTCCGTGCGCCGATTTGAACATCAGCATTATCTCAAATATCACTACTCATTCCTTATTCTCGTCGTCTTTACTACCTCCATCTCTTCCTCTTTAAGCTTTCCCGCGCCAATTCCCCCCGCCCCTTCCCCCATCATCTCGTGGAGGACCTAATATTGCTGCGCCTCTTTCCCTATTTTTCCTCCTTTCCCCCGTCCCTTCAACCCAGAACCTCTCGTTCCCTTTCACCCTAAAACCCTTACGTTTCAGTCTTCGACCACCTCGTGGACTTAATACCGCTTCGGCATTACCTCTTCCCCTTTTTGTTTTTCTCCCCCCCTCTCCCCCGCCCCTCTCCCCCGCCCCTCTCCCCCGTCCCCTCCCCCCCCCCCCCCCCCCCCCCCTCTCCCCCGTCCCTCTCCCCTTAAACCCTTACGTTTCAGTCTTCGACCATCTCGTGGACTTAATACCGTTGCGCCACTACCTCCCGTCGCAGGCTGACTCTGTCGCCCTGGTACGCGTTATAAGCCAATTATGTTGCGCTTATACGCGTCATTAGCACGCGTTACAGACACACCCCGTCGTCCTTACCCGTTTGTTACTGTAACACGAGCACTTATACCGCGTACTAGGTCTGTCCCGAGATACCCGAGCAAGCTTTGCGTGCGTGCATGCCAATCGCGCGTTTACTCAAATCACAATCTCCCAGTCGTTCCCGTCCGTTCTTTACCGCGTCCACCCTTTACCGAGTACAGAAGTATGAGAAGGTGGAGGGCGGCAAGGCAGAGGCAAAGCGGGCAGCTAAGGAGCAATCAAAGAAAGCCAAGAGGCTCAAGGTGAGGGGAAGCGTGTCGAGGTGCGGGGAAGAGAGTCAAAGTGAGCGACAAGACTACAGGGGCAGCAAAACGGGCAGCGAAGGAGCAGTCGAAGAAAGCAAAGCGGCTCAAGGTGAGGCGAGCGGAACTGGGGTGAGCGGAAGAGAGTCGGCTCGAAGCGAAGTGATGTAAAGGAATGTGAGGCAGCCGCATTCAGAGGAAATTAGACGTGGAATCCCCAACCTTAAACCCAAAACCTCGAACCCTTTTCTCTAATTTCCGAAGCAACGTTATGTTGAGAGCCGCGCCAGAACTCTGGGGCGGGGTTCTGGGACTCACTTTTGAGAATTCTCAAAAGGACTCTGGGGCAGGGTTCTGTGTTTTGCTCCTCTTGTGAGTGCGTCATTGGGTAAGGCGAGCCACCTACGAACTTAACACCTTGGGAGCGAGTCACCTAAGGCTAAGACGAAACGCCTTGGGAGGATTGGCTGCCTGACTCGCTTGCAATCAACAATCGCTCTCTCCCTGCTTCCCAACTCTTCTCCCCAATCGACTTCTCGTCCCCCTTTCCTCTCCCCTTTCCGCGGTTGGACCCCCCAACAGCGCAGCGCACCTCCCAGGCGCTGCAGGCTTTCCAAGGCCCTCAAGAATCTCCCATCCCTCTCCCCCCCCTCCCCCCCCCTGCCCCACTTCGCTCGGCCCTCCCCCACCCCTCCCCCCCCCCCCTCCCCAGTTGGACCCAGCAGCAGCTCAGCGCACCTCCCAGGCGCTGCAGGCGGGGAAGCAGCAGCAGGAGCGAGTGAAGGCTCACCTCCGCTTGCTTGTTTGCAAGCAAGATTCGCACCCTCCCCTTCCCTTCCCTTCCTTCTCCCCACATCCCCTCCCCCCCTCTCTCCCCCTCCCCCCTTCACCTCACCCCCCCCCCCCCCCCCCCCAGTTGGGCCCCGCAGCAGCGCAGCACACCTCGCAGGCGCTGCAGGCGCTTGCAGCAGCACCACGAGTCCTCCTTTAGAGGTTCTGGCTCGCTTGCTTTTAATCTCTACATTCCGCCCTCCCCTCCCTTTCCCCCTTCCTCCCTCCCCCCCCCCCCCAGTTGGACCCTGCAGCAGCGCAGCGCACATCCCAGGCGCTGCAGGCGCGGCAGCAGCAGCAGGAGCAGGGGGGAGGGCGCGGAGGGGCGGGCGGATCCGGGGGAGGTGGTTTCGGGTCAGGGGGAGGGGGAGGAGGGGACGGGAAGAAGGGCGGGAAGGGGGAGATGGACGATCCAATGGACCAGCTGTTGAAAGAAGCAGGTAAGAGAGCGGTGGTGAGCGGTGCAACGTGGTGGGTGCTGGTGATGGGAGGTGATGGTGTTAGAGTGATGGTGTTGTGCGTTTGGGGGGGCGGAGGGGAAGGGAAAGAAGGGCGAGAAAGGGGAGATGGACGATCCGATGGACCAACTGTTGAAAGAAGCAGGTGAGAGAGAGTGGTGATGCATGGTGCAAGGTGGTGGGAGGTGGTGGAAGGGGAGTGGTGCAAGGTGGTGGGTGGTGCTGCTAGTGCGGGTGGATTCGAAGTGGGTGGGGAGGAGCAGGGGAAGAGAAGAAGGGCGGGAAGGGGGAGATGGACGATCCGATGGATCAACTGTTAAAAGAAGCAGGTGAGAGAGTGGTGGTGAGTGGTGGAATGTGGTGTGGAGTGACGGTGCAAGTTGGTGGATGGTGCTGGTAGGTTCTGGACCATCATTTCCCTGCTTCCCTGTGCCCTTGCCCATTGTTTCTTTCAGGAGTGGGTAGGAAGGGACGGGCAGCGGATTACCAGGAGTTGAGGGCACGCGGAGAGGGAAAAACAGAGGGAGGGCGGTATAGAGCCTTCTGGATCATCATTTTCCCTGCCTCCCTGTGCCCCTGCCCTTGTTTCTTTCAGGCGTGGGCAGGAAGGGGCGAGCAGCGGATTACCAGGAGTTGAGAGCACGGCTGCAGCAGCGGCTGGAGGAACTGAGGAAGCGGAGGAACGCGGAGAGGGCTTCTGCTGCTAGTGAGTGGCGGAAGAAGCAGAGAGAGACGGGCGCTGAGGGGGACAAGAAGGGGAAGAAAGGCGGGAAGGAGCGGAAGAAGGGGAAAGGGGGAGGAGGAGGAGGTGGGGAGGTTGCGGTGGTGGGTGGGAAACGGAAGCAACAGGAGAGGGAAGGGGATGGGGGAAAGGAGGGGAAGAAGGAGAGGACAGGGAAGGAGAAGGGTGGAGGGAAGGGCGGAAGAGGAGCAGGAGGGGGAGTAGGAGGAAGAGGAAGAGAAGGAGGAGGAGAGGAGAGACAGGGGTTGGCGGATGATGAGGTTATTCCTTTAGATTTGGAGTTTGGGCGGGTGAAACTGGGGGATAAGGCAGCAGCAGGGGCAGGGATGGGAGGCGGGAAGAAGGGGAAGAAGGAGGGCGGGAAGGTATCTGCCAAGAAGCTTCTGGAGCAGGCGGCTAAGATTCAGGAGAAGCTCAAGGGGCGGAAACTGGGGGATAAGGCACTGGCTGAAGTGGTGAGTTGGTGTATGGGTGTGAGAGCATGAGTGGACTGTGGGAGAGCATGAGTATCTATCTGCTAAGAAGCTTCTGGAGCAAGCGGCTAAGATTCAGGAGAAGCTCAAGGGGCGGAAACTGGGGGATAAGGCACTGGCTGAAGTGGTGAGTTGGTGTATGGGTGTGAGAGCATGAGTGGACTGTGGGAGAGCATGAGTATCTATCTGCTAAGAAGCTTCTGGAGCAAGCGGCTAAGATTCAGGAGAAGCTCAAGGGGCGGAAACTGGGGGATAAGGCTCTGGCTGAAGTGGTGAGTGTGTTGGTGACTTCGAGAGGGGTGTGAAGTGCACGAGCAAGCGACTAAAAATTCAGGAGATGCTGAAAGGTCTGAAATCGGGAGATAACGCGCTGGCTGAAGTGGTGAGTGGGTTGGTGGGTGTGAGAGAGCTTGAGTGGGAGAGCGTGAGGGTGTATCTGCCAAGAAGCTTCTGGAGCAAGCGGCTAAGATACAGGAGAAGCTGAAGGGGCGGAAACTGGGGGACAAGGCGCTGGCTGAAGTGGTGAGTGAGTTGGTGGGTGGGAGAACATGAGTGGCAGAGCGTGAGGGTGTATCTGCCAAGAAGCTTCTGGAGCAAGCGGCTAAGATTCAGGAGAAGCTGAAGGGGCGGAAACTGGGGGATAAGGCTCTGGCTGAAGTGGTGAGTGTGTTGGTGACTTCGAGAGAGCATGTGAGTGGGAGGGCATGAGGGTGTATCTGCCAAGATTCTTTTGGAGCAAGCGGCTAAGATTCAGGAGAAGCTCAAGGGGCGGAAACTGGGGGATAAGGCACTGGCTGAAGTGGTGAGTGAGTTGGTGTGTGTGAGAGAGCATGTGGGTTTGAGAGCAGGTGGAGTGGGAGAGCATGAGTGGGGGAGCAAGCGGCTGAAATTTAGGAGAAGTTGAAGGGACGGAAGCTGGGAGATAAGGTACTGGCTGAAGTGGTGAGTGAGTTGGTGGGTGAGAGAGAGAGAGAGAGAGAGAGAGAGAGAGAGAGAGAGAGAGAGAGAGAGAGAGAGAGAGAGAGAGAGAGAGAGAGAGAGAGAGAGAGAGAGAGAGAGAGAGAGAGCATGTGAGTGGGAGAGCATGAGTGTGTATTTGCCAAGAAGCTTCTGGAGCAAGCGGCTAAGATTCAGGAGAAGCTCAAGGGGCGGAAACTGGGGGATAAGGCACTGGCTGAAGTGGTGAGTGAGTTGGTGCCTGTGAGGGGGGTGTGAGTGCTGGCTGGCGTCTCCCTTTCAGCATTTCCTGGCTGGCGCTGGCTGAAGTGACAAAATCAATTCATGAGTCGACTCTCAAAAATCGACTCCCTTGCAGCATTTCCTGGCTGGCGCTGGCTGAAGTGACAAAATTCAGGCCACGTTGAAAGAGAGAGGCATGGGTTGGTAACTGTGAGGGAGTGTGGAGTGCATTTCCCGGCTGGCGCTGGCTGAAGTGACAAAATTTAGGCCGCGTTGAAAGGGCGGAAACTGGGAGACAAGGCGCTGGCTGAAGTGACAATTTCAGGCCACGTTGAAAGGGAGTTGGTGATTGTGAGGGAGTGTGTGGAGTGCATGAGCAAGCGGCTATAATTCAGGAGAAGATTAATGGACGGAAACTGGGAGACAATGCACTGGCTGAAGTGGTGAGTTGGTGTGTGAGTGAGGGAGCATGAGTGAGGGAGCATGAGTGGGAGAGCAAGCTGCAGAACGGCATGCGTGGGAGAGCATGACTGGGAAAGCAAGCGGCTAAGATTCAGGAGAAGCTCAAGGGGCGGAAACTGGGAGACAATGCACTGGCTGAAGTGGTGAGAGTTTGCCTGTCAATGATGAGGGAGTGAGGGGGAAGAGGAGAGAGGAGGTGGGGCGTGGAGTGCATTCAGCAAGCCTCTAAGATTCAGGAGAAGCTCAAGGGGCGGAAACTTGGAGACAGGACGCTGTCTGAACTGGTGAATGAGTTGGTGACTGTGAGAGAGCATGTGAGTGGGAGAGCGTGAGGGTGTATCTGCCAAGAAGCTTCTGGAGGAGGCATCAAGGGGCGGAAACTGGGAGACAAAGCGCTGGCTGAAGTGGTGAGTTGGTGTGAGAGAGAGCACGTGACCAAAACAAGAGACCAACAAAGAGAGAGCACGTGAATAAAACAAGAGACTAACAGAGAGAGAGAGCACGTGATTAAAACAAGAGACTCCCGGGAGACAGCACGTGACTAAAACAAGAGACTCCCAGAGAGAGAGCTAGTGACTAAAACAAGAGACTCCCGAGAGAACCCCCTTAGAGACCCATGTGTGTCTGTCTCTCTCTTGGTCTCTCCTTCTTCAGGAGACCCACCTGTGGAATGCTGCTGCGGCTAGCAGCAGGGCGGCAGGCGGGAAGGTGTTTGACGATCCCACTATGTGAGCAAGCAGGATGCTGCCTGTTCCCCTTGCAATGTGCCTCCCATCCATACATCTGATCCGTGTCTGTCTCCCGGTCTCCCCTAACGCAGGAGACCCACCTCTGGAACGCGGCGAGCAGCAGGGCGGCAGGCATCAAGGCATTTGACGATCCCAACATGCTTCTTCCCTCCCGTCCCTCCCATGCCCACCCACCCCCGTGCTTCCATCCCATCCCACCCATCTGAACCCCCTCTCTCTGCTAACCCAGGAGACTCACCTGTGGAATGCGGCGAGCAGCAGGGCGGCAGGCGGAAAGGTGTTTGACGATCCCAACATGCTGAGCAAACAGCAGAAGAGGGAGCAGCGGCAGAAGGAGAAGAGCGCCAAGCTATGGTGAGCGGTGGATTGCGGTGGTGTTGGGTGGTGTGGGTTAGGTGTTTGACGATCCCAACATGCTGAGCAAGCAGCAGAAGAGGGAGCAGCGGCAGAAGGAGAAGAGCGCCAAGCTATGGTGAGCGGTGGATTGCGGTGGTGTGTGGTAGTAATGGGTTGTGGTGGCGTGGGGTAGATTTTCGGGTGGTTGGTGAATGGTGGTGTGGATTCTATTTGATGGCATATAGCATGGGCTTATTTTGTCTGTAGTTGGGATGAGATGGGATATGCTGGGCCTGGGGAAAATAGAACATATCACTGTTACTTTTGAGGATTCCTGAAAAGTAACAGCACAAAACTTATAACCCAGTGCCATCTGCCTGGTGCTTCCTTCCTTCCCATGTGGTTGTCTTCTCTACTTACCAGGAAGGAGAGGCAGATGGTTATGTGTGCACAAAGTAGCGGCAGGACAAGTGGGGGAGGATCATAGATTGCACGTCACTTGTTGGCTTGTGCTGTGCTGCACTCGATGCAAACTGAGTTTGCTGTCCTTTCCCTGCGTGTGTATTTGTGTCCGTTAACAGGAAGGAGAGGCAGAAGGCAGTGCGTAAGGCAATAAAGGACAGACAGGACAAGCGCAAGGGGAACATTCAGGAGAGGAAGGACAACAAGATTGCTGCTAAGATCGCACGTGTACGTGGTGGAGATTGGAGGGGAGTATAGTGGGATTGAGTGACATCAGTAACTGCATACAGCATGGGATGAGACAGGCCAAGCGCAAGGGGAACATTCAGGAGAGGAAGGACAACAAGATTGCTGCTAAGATCGCACGGGTGGGTGGTGTGAGGTGGAGGGGAGTAGAGTGGGTTAGAGTGGTTTGAGTGAGGCAGCATACATCAAGCGTGGCATGAGAACAAGTGTGGGGGAGCATTCAGGAACTAAGGGCAACAAGATTGCTGCTAAGATCGCACGGGTGGGTGGTGATGTGGAGGGAAGTCTCATTGTGGAGTAGATGGAGGGAGCAGGACTGCGTAATGAAGGTGCAATGAGGTGCAGTGAGGGAAATTTCAGGAGAGGAAGGAGAACAAGATTGCTTCTAAGATCGCACAGGTAGGTGGAACGGAGGGAAGTATAGTTGGGAACAGGAAGGTGGATGGATGTGTTGGGTAGTGGTATGCACAGTAGGATGCAACACAGCCCGTCATTGTGTGGCAAAGATTGCCGGCTTGTCGATATTGCAGGCATTTGCTACGTATGCTTTTAATCTCTATGCTGTTTAAATTGCTCGTTTTTATGCTTGCTATTGATTGCAGAGGGAGAAGAAGCTGATGCGGCCGGGCTTTGAAGGACGAGCAGGGGGCACAGCCTTGAATGCCACGCCAGCAACTACAGCTACACCATAGAATGTTTATCCGATCGACTACACCATAGATTGTTATTAAAATCATTGACTACATTGTGGTAGCAGCTACACCATGTAGTGGGCTACATCCTTGTGAAGAATAATGATGTTATGACGTGGTGTAAAAGACTTGTGGTCAGGTCACAGGTGTTGCTGGGAAAAGCAAGCTTCACATAGAATGAAAATTGCAGGCGCGTTCTGGCATGGTAAAACAGGCAAGAGTCATGACACATGTACCTGTATTCGTGTAAAGGCCTACAGCAGCATGATGTGCATTATAATGTGATATGATGCCTTATTAGAGTCTGTCACGCACTTTCTAGCCGAAGAGTGCACCTAAAATCTCGTGCAAGATACTTTCATGAACGGAACGTGTTTAGTAACGAAACGATCTTCTAGGGCGAAGGCGGTCCCGCTCGTTCATCCAATCATTGAGTGCCTTGAGGCCCACCCCAGCAGCGAGCAGCAGCAGGGAGAGGACGAAAAGGAGAGCGATGATGAGAGCCCACCGCCGCACAGCGGGAGGGATGAACCCCTGATGATGGGCGAATGGAGGGGGTGGGAGGAGAGGGGAAGATGAGTGAGAGGTGGGGAGGGTAACAAGCAGTGCAAGCACCTTCAGCCTTGACGCCCACCCTAGCGGCAGCCGGAGGAGGAAGCAGAAGAGCGTGATGATTAGGGCCCACTGGCGCACAGCGGGTGGGATGAACCCCTGATGATGGGCGATTGGAGGGGGCTGGTTGGAAGTGAGAGGGGAAGGAGGTTAGTATCGTAACTGAAGCGGAGCGACAGGAACTGGACATTCAAGTGCCTTGAGACCCACTCCAGCAGCGAGCAGCAGCAGGGAGAGGAAGAAAAGGAGAGTGATAATGAGAGCCCACCGCCGCACAGCGGGTGGGATGAACCCCTGATGATGGGAGCGGGTTAGGTTGGGCGGGGGGGGGGGGTTTGGGATGGGATGAGTTAGCGGAGGGGAATGCGCAACATTGGCAGCAGCAGAGGCAGCAGCAGCAGCAGCAGCAGCAGCAGCAGCAGCAGCAGCAGCAGCAGCAGCAGCAGCAGCAGCAGCAGCAGCAGCAGCAGCAGCAGCAGCTGGAGGAGGAAGCATAGGAGTGTGACGATGACGGCCCAGCGACGCACAGGGGACGGGATAAAACCCTGATGATGGGCGATTGGAAGCAGAGGGGGGGGAGGGGGGGAGAAGGGTAGGAGAGGGGGAGAGAGGAACATGAGATGAGTAGTGGAGGGGAGGCAAAAGACCAATGCACGCGCCCTGAGCTTTGAAGCCCACCACAGAAGCAAGCAGGAGGAGGAGGAATAGGAGAGTGGTGATGAGAGCAGCACCCCTGATGATGGGCGATTGAAGGAACGAAGGTGTTGCGAATGAGTGGGGGAAGAGGGCAGGGAGACAAGGGGAAGCGGGCGAGGGAGAGAAGTGCCATGAGAGTTAACACTGCAGCGAGCAGCAGCTGCAGGAGGAGGAAGCAAAGGAAAGTGATGAAGCAATCATTAAGGCCCACTGGCGCACAGCAGGCACAGCAGGAGGTATGAACCTCTGATGATGGGCGATTGGAGGGGGGCGGGGTTGTTGGGATGAATGGGAGAGAGGAGGGGGAAGGGGTTGGGTGAGGGCGCGAAAAAGGGGTGAGTGAGGGACACGAAGAGGAGTGAGTGATAGAATTGCCTTGAGGCCCACCCCAGCAGCGAGCAGCAGGACGAGGAGAGTGATGATAGGGCCCAGCAACGCACAGAAGGAGGATGAACCCCTGGTGATGGGTGAATGAAGAGGGGTTTGATTGGGATGAATTAGAGAAGTGGACAGAGTGATGCAAGCACCCTGAACCTTTTAAGGCCCACGCCAGCAGCGATCAGCAGCAGCAGGAGGACGCAGAGGAGAGAGATGATGAGAGCCCACCGTTTTGCAGCAGGAGGGATGAACCCCTGATGATGAGAGAGAGAGGAGGGGGGTTGTTGGGATAGGAATGAACAGCAGCAGCATGTGGCGGAAGCACAAACGAGCCATGATGACAAGCCAACGTTGAGTTGTTACGATGGCAACGAGTCATCTCAGTCCGATCCAGCCCATCAGTACAGGGAGAGAGAGGTGAAAACCTGCAAGCACAATTCGTTTTACTTGGACCTTATGATGCAGTTTACTGTTTTACCTTCTATAAAGCCATAAAAGGAGATATAGATGATAAATCTAACATTATTCCTCTATTGCCTTTGTCTGTGTCCTCCGAGGGCTCCCCTCACCCAGCGCTGTGTTGTGCCTGTGATTCCTTATTATAGTAAAAATGATCAGAATCTGCGCTTACAAATAGAGAGGCAGAGGAATCATCGTCTTCATCTGCTGCCGTCTTCCTTCTCCTCCTGCGTGCTCCCCTCTGCTGTGCCATGCCATGCCATGCCATGCCTTGCCATGCCATGCCATGCCATGCCGTGCCATGCCATGCCGTGCCATGCCGTGCCGTGCCGTGCCGTGCCGTGCCGTGCCGTGCCGTGCCGTGCCGTGCCGTGCCGTGCCGTGCCGTGCCATGCCATGCCCATACCATTATATATTGTGCCATTGTCAGAAAATGCAATACCAGTTCATGTCAATGCGAGGAAACAAACATGCCCATGCATCCAGGAGGCATCAGCAATTCGTGCACCACTATCAAAAGAGCCCAAAAGGAACAGGAATAGCATCGATAAACGTTCCAGAGTGCAGGTACAAAGCACCCTCTTGAACACTAGACGGTCATGGTAAATCATGAAATGATTTTTTCAGTCGACGCAAAAAACCGCAACAAAGCAATTAGGACCGAAACCAAAACGTGTACAGGAGTGAAGATAGAAGCACGAGGAACGGGTTGAAATGGCACGGGATGAAAACCTACGAAACACAACACAAATCACCTAACGAAAGAATGGAGAATTACACCAAAACACCATCAACTCACAGCAGCTTTCGCTCCAAACCGAAGCCTCTCCGCCTCTGCTGCCACGTCTGCCTATGCTTACAACGAACTAGTCAAACACGGAAACACACGCTAGACAGGCAATACCCACAGCAGCTTCCGCCTCGAGTCGAAGCCTCTCTGCCTCTGCTGCTAATGGTGATGCCGCGGCTGCCTATGCTTACAATACACAAGTCAAACACGGAAACACACACAAGACAAGCAATACTCACAGCAGCTTCTGCCTCGAGTCGAAGCCTCTCCGCCTCTGCTACTAATGGTGCTGCCGCCTTTATACTATCAAAACATAAGACAAACACCAAGCAACACCATCAATACTCACAGCAGCTTCTGCCTCGAGTCGAAGTCTCTCCGCCCCTGCTGCAGCGGCTGCCTTCCTCTCTGCCTCTCGCTTCTCCTCCGCCTCCCGCCTCTTCCTCTCCTCCTCCTGAATGCGCCAGCACTCGTCGTCACATGGAATCAGCCCCACCCCCACCATTGACTCTCGCAATCTCCCACCCCCACTGCCCCCGCCACTGCTGCTGGCATTGGTGCTGCTGTCTGTGCTGCTGGTGGGGTTGCTTGCACCGTTGGCTGCAGCCTTGGCAGTGGCTGATTGTACTTCAGAGCAAAGCCACTCTCTCTTGAGTCGCAGGCATGCACAGCGCACTGTGACCTGGTGGGGTGCAGGGGTGGAATGTGGGGGTGGGTGGGTGTGAAGGCATACGTGGTGGCGGATTGCACTTGGGAGCAGAGCCACTCTTTCTTGAGCCGCAGGCAGGCACAGCGCACCGTGACCTGTGGAATGTGGGGGGGGCGGGATAGAGAAGGAAGGAAGGGGCAGCAATAAAAGCTCCAGTGGTGGAGTTGCTTGCACCGTTGGCAGCAGCTTTGGCAGTTTCGGATTGCACTTGGGAGCAAAGCCACTCTTTCTTGAGTCGCAGGCATGCACAGCGCACCGTTACCTGTGGAGAGTGTAAGCGGACGCATGCATGAGGCTATGTAGGGTTATACACGATTCATGCACTATACGCCAGCACGTAATACGCTGACGTAAATAAGCGATACTCTGAGTGTCCATTTAGTGGGCCAAAATGAACACAAACTTATATATGAGGCGCCTCAAAAATCCTCTGGGGGGTCCATTTAGTGGGCCAGGATGAGCAACAACAGAAGCACAGGTGCACCATTGTGCACATGCACACATGCATACGTGGACCCATGCACATGTGCGCACACATGCACACATGCACACATGCACACATGCACACATGCACACATGCACACATGCATATGTGGACCCATGCACACATGCGCCCATGCACACATGTACACAAGCACATGTGCGCACACATACACCCATGCACACTTGCACCCATGCACACATGCACACGTGCACACATGCACATGTGCGCGCACATGCACACATGCACACATGCACACATGCACACATGCACACATGCACACGTGCGCACACGCACACACGCCCACACATGCACACACGCACACACGCACACATGCACACACGCACACGTGCACACGTGCACACGTGCCCACATGCACACATGCACACATGCACACATGCACACATGCACACATGCGCACATGCGCGCATGCGCACATGCACACATGCACACATGCACACATGCGCACATGCGCACATGCACACATGCACACATGCACACATGCGTACATGCACACACACATGCACACACACATGCACACACACATGCACACACACATGCACACATGCACACATGCACACATACACACATACACACATGCACACACAGCCCACCTTCTTGCGGCACTGCGTTGGCTTGGGGCAGGGGCCAGGATGACACATTTCCACACACATGTGCGAACAGAAGGGCAGCTTCCTGGAAGGTGCAAGGAAATCGCAAAAAGAAAAATGACAATGGCTTGGTCACTGTCGCGTGGGAGAAAATACAAGGGAGTGTTGATTGTGATTCAACTGAAGTGTGTGTTTTTTTAGAATTCTCAAAAGAACAATGGCAATGGCAAGGTCACTGTCGCGTGGGAGAAACTACAAGGGAGT